AAAGTATTTAACAATTGTTAAATACTTGTAAAATTGTAAAAAACCTTAAAAACTAAAATATCTGTGACAGGTACCCTAACACAGTCTGAAATTTTAGTATCAACATTTAATTAAGGATAAATTTATGAGGCTCTTTTAACCAAACAACTAATTTAACAAGTTGCTGTTAAAAGTTGAAGTAATTTATACTTCCTTAATTTGACATTTCTTTACTACCTGCTCAATTTCTGTTTTTATTTTAAACATTTCCAGCTGTTGTAATTTTAATTTGCATATCCATGGTATGTAAAGTTCACAATTATTCTTTTTTCTGGTGCATCAATGTAACAGATGTTTTCTCATTTAATAAAGCTTACATGTGTGACTAGATTTAGTTCAGCAGTTCTATAAAGCCAACTCCATTGAGTTGATTACTTATCTCAATGAAGCATGACTTTAAAATAATCATAATCATGTTCTCCATGGTAACTTACTGAATAAAATGGGCAATATTTTCACCTAATGGGGTTCAGAGAGTTTCTGTTACTTGTCTGACTAGCTTTTGCTTTTATCTTTTACCTGTGATGGACAGGTTACTTTGTAGAGTAGGAAAAATGTCTACTTTTTTTCGATATTATTTGTTTAGGGGCAGTTTTAAAAGACACAAAAAAGAAATTAAAATCCTCAGGTAACTTAAAGCAATGCAATATGTTTATATGACTATGGCATTTGTAAAAGTTGAAGCTACATGGAGAATGCTGTATCTTCTGTCTAATAAAACAAACCAAAAAAAGGGTGTATTTTTCCTGTGTCTTATTAAAATTAAACACAGCAGCAAATGGTAGCCATGGACTTAGATTCACCTCAAATTCCTTAAGCAGCTTTAGGACAAGTGAAACTCAATGGTTTTGCTATGAGAGATTTGTGAATATTTATTTCTTACCACATGCAGGAGATTTAAAATGAACTACAAATCTAAGTGTTCCAACTGCCATGTTCTCAGTGCTTTTCCGTGATATTGGCTCTGTTTCTCACACTTCCAGAAAACTTGTTTCTCTTAAGAATATGCAGTAAAGCTGTGTGTTAAAATCCAGTCTCTGCCCATTAGTACTCCAGAAACATGAGCCTTTTATAAAAGAGATTATCCCATGCTTGTTCTTACACAGAAAACAGAAGTTGACTTGCTGTTGGTGGTGTTTGGTATAATGGTTAGTGACATTATTTAGGACATGAGAGATGGAGAGCTAATGTCATTCTCAGCCTGAGGGTTTTTTAATCTACCTCTCTCTCCTCTTTGTGGCAATTCTGTAATCATCCACTAACAAAGCAGGGTGGGTGAGATGTGGTGATACTGAATTACCACAGAACAACCAGACAGGAAGAAAAGGTTACTCTAGTCACACTGTGTAAAACTCAACCAAGTCATTTTACAGCCCTGAATTGGCTGAATTTATCAGTAAACAGAGACATAAATAAGTAATTTTGTGACTGTTGTGACAGTGTAATAAAACCAGTTTACAATAATTACCTGTTCATATAATTCCCAGAAAATATTGATATTATTTAGACATCCAAAGCATCCAGCAGCTTTATACATTAGGCCTTCATCAACATAACATTGCATGTTTAAACATGGCAATTGTTTAAGTATTTTGTTGCATTAAGAGCTGTATAGCAGCTGTTTCCCATCAGACATGGTAGTTAGATGAAAAAAGTATTTTATAAAAACTTAAAAATTTGTTGTCTCTTTATGCTTGTGAAATTAGAACAGAATTGTCATCCATGTAAAAGGACAAACAACAAATTATTTTTTCAAGTAATTTATGCAGCTATTGTGGCAGTTTGAAGTTAGGCTCTTCTGACTGCTGAATTAGTGCATCTTCCTTAGCAGCACAGAATGATCCTGCAGTTAGTTTCATTTGTAGAGAGTTCTTGTATTCCAAATCTCACCCATTAGTTTTATTGGATATAACATTCTAGAATACACTTCTGCCTAAGCACCTTTTTCAGTAATATTCTCTAGTTCTGCCTGTGCCATATGTGCAGGAGTATGAAAGGATGGCAATACTCCAAACTTTAATACTTAAAGTGTATTACAATTCCTGCCATAAATTGGAGTATACATAGTCAATTACCTGAAATTTGTACTGGAGCGGCCTGTGAAATATGACACAGTGCTGCAAAGTTGTCTTAATTCTTCTTGTACCCTCATGGAGTCCAGCAAATGGAGCATCCAAAGGATTTTTTGTCTTTTGAAGCAGTTATAGCATCCTTAATCTTAGGGATTGCCAGCATCTGTCTATTTTTGTAGAAGAGCAAGTAATCAAGGTGAATGTCTGTGGACTACTGTGAATTCTATAAAAAAGTCAAATTATAAATCAAAAACTGTAATAAATACATGGATATAGAGAATACTGCTCCCTTTCAACTCAGGGTCACAAACAAATCAGATATCAGTCACAGGCATTATGGTTTTACTGAGTTTTGGACAGCTTCTATACACATTATCAAAAGAAATATCATCTTCATCTGTGTAAGACCCTGATGTTATTTACTTCACATTCTTCAAAACTTACAAACACAGAAGTACAATAGTAAAAAATCAAAACCTCAGTAGCCAAAAAAAGCTGTCAAAAAAGTAATGGACAGCTATTTTTTATCAGTCTTATCTGAATCATTGCAACACTCTCAGGCATCAGTTAAAGATCCATGCTCCTTTCTCCTCAGTATTGCACACACATTAACTTAAGACTGTACAAAGTTTCTTCCTGTTTTTCCATTTGATATTAATAATTTGAAGGGGATTTTTTTCTCTCTTTGTTAGATTCATGTAAACAGATCCCCACTTCCGTGAAGTGACTTTCTCTCTAGTAGAAAGAATTAGATTAAAAGTTCAAGGCTTATAAGAGCATCACCACCAATCTGTGGCACAGAGCACTGCTGCTGTATGCAGGGCAACACAGTAAAATTAGTCCACTTGAGACAGAAAAATCCTGAGAACTCTTTTCTTTCCCCTCTAGTTTCAGCTTCTGTCACCTGATCACACACATATTAGAATTGGGGGGATTTATGTTGGTTGCTTTCTTTTCCTTTGGGCTAATTATTGCGTCAGAAAGCCTGTCCCAGGCAAGATTTAGTCCAGGTCCAGCAAGTTAGATCCGGGTAATTACTTTGCGAACTAAACTTCAAATTCTGCTTTTTCCCCAGGTAACGGGTAGGTCAGTTTAATTTGTATTTGATTGTTTCTCTGTAGTTAAAAGGATTCCTGATGGAAAGTGGCTTTTGAAATAAATCTGGTCTCTGTAGCAGGCCACATCCTGCTCAGATCATTGTTGGGAAGGGGGAATGAAAAAATATCTGAAAACTCCAGGACATTTAAATGAGGAAAAAATTTTAATGGGCTCTGAAAGAAGTTCAGTATCCTAATACACTTGTAAAAAGGCTGAAAATTGAGCAAATTTTCCTAAGCCTGAGAATTTAATTAAATATGTTGTAGGTTTGAATAGGAAGATATTTCTTGACCTTTCTTCTCCTATGGTGGGAGAAAGAAAGAGCAATATTGACTGATCTCACAGGTGAGCATTCAAGATGAATAAATACATGTTTATACTAGGCTTTGACTGTGTAAATTGATTTAGTGGAATGAGAATAAGCAAAAGCCATACACAATTTATCGTTCTAGTAGCTTATGTGCATTTGAAGTTACTGTTTGTTACATAAAGTATCAGAGTTATTGAAATCTCAGATCTTTAAAAAGAAAATTAGGATATTTCAAGCTGGAGTATGACTCAGAACCCTGTCCTTAAGATCCTTTGTGCTGTCTGAAAGATCCACAAAGCAACAGGGGGAACAGACTTTATATGAGAAGCAACAAAAATGCTGTCAAAAGCTAACATAAACAAATATAAAATACAGAGAAAAATAAATGTGTTTTGCCATTCTGTATGACTCAGTGATGCATTATGTTTAGTAGTGTCAACCATATGTGTTTAAGGCAAAAATGTGATTGTATTTCAGCTGATACTTTTTCTTTGATTTTACAATATACCTGAATCCTGCACAGCTTTGTATTATTCACTGAGACAAAGGATGACAGCAAATGAATTCAATACATCAATAAATTACAATTCAATAAAAGTCTTCCAATATGTTTACTGCTAAAGACAGTTAGAACAAAATAATCAAGCTCCTTTCTGTTTTCCCTGTTTGTCTCTTTGGCCCTGTTTCAAACACTTCATTGTTTTTCTAATGGGGTTAAAGAAGAGCTAGCAGGCAGTGTAGAACCCTTTTTACTGTATTTCTCTGAGTCACTACGTATCCTCAGAGATGATGGTATCTGAATTTGTCAGCTTGGTCCCCTCCTTGCATCTGGCATAGTCTCAGTGTCACAAACAGGAACAAAGACTTGTTTAAAACAAAAAGAAGCAAGCAGCAGGGCCCAAAATTATATATGCATATTAAGAATGTGCACAGCTTGGGAAAATAGTCTGTTCTCTCCTACATTCTCCAGTTCATCTATTTCTTAGAAAATCACAGCTATTCAAGTTTACAGTGATCTCTTCATAAGTTGGACTTTCAGAGATTTATGGAAAGATGACAAATTTGACAAATAGCACTTATAGCAAGATGAGACCAGCTAGTTTTACAGATTTTGACTTACTAAAAACCAGTGCTGACAGATGTTTCTCAGTATGCAATCATCTAAACAACTAATATGTTATTAGGGCAGAAGTAATAAAAAGAGGAGTTATTATTTAATCCATTTGTGAATATTTTTGCTACTACAATGGTTTCTGTATTGCCCCTCAGAGATGGCTGTACTGAAGTGATAGATGTAAGTGATAGATATGAAGTGTCTAAGCTCTTCCAAAAGATGATATAAACATTACTGCAACAAATAAAGAAAATTGTCCTGAATGAATGCCATTTAGAAAAGTGGCTTTCATACTTATTTGTTCAGAAAACAGAACAAAAACAAACTAAAAAACAAACAAAAGAAGACAATAAGTAAGCAACAAATATTCAATAGATTTATTTTTATTCAAAAGTAGATTACTGTGCCCTAGAATGGTTCTTTACAAGATTTTTTGCTTTCTTGGTATTTGTAAAACTTTCTTTGATAATTGAAAAGTGAGTTCATATGCTATGACTTCGTACTGATTACAAAGTATTAAAAAAACATTTTCTGGTACAAGGCCTTTACAGAAGGTTGCTTAAAAAATATATTATTTACTGATTTAAATTCTATAAAGGAAAGAGTTATTCCCAATAAGGCTTAGGGTGCTTTTGCAATAAAGCCTGATCACATAGTCAAAATCCTAAAATGAATATACAGACAAAGAGGGTAAGGGAATAACAATTGACTATAAAGCTTTAAATCTGAACTTTATGATTCAGTGTTTCTCATGCAGTAATTTACTATAACTGAAATGAGGACACCGTGCCCTTACATGACTGATGCTAATTTGGGTCTCAAACATAGGACACCCCTCATAATGAAATATGGGTTTGGGTGTGTCGGATATGTGTGTGGCTTCATTTGAAATTAGCTCCACAGCTGAACATTCAGGAAAGGAATATGCTGAAGTTTCTTCCCATATCATAGCAGAGAATGTCACAAATGAGTGACTCAGTGCCTGAGCTCTATTTTCAGTTTCTGGTGTGTTTGGTCATCCTTCTCTTGTGTGGGAAGACGGCATGTCTGGTCTCCTAGGCCCCACCTTATGTGCAGTAGCTGTGACATAGCCAGCTGCAAAGATGAAACAACTGTAAAATATATCTCTTCCCTTTACTTTTCCAGTGGAGCCATGTCAGCCAGCTGGAAAGCCTACAGTGACATTTCATTGGCTGTCTGCTGTTCCTCACATGGTCTGTAACACACAGAGTAGTTTCACCTCCACAATGAACTATCCTGTGCTTTCTATGTGGCTCTCAAGGCCCCAAATGTGGCATTTTGGGATGTGGTTTAGTGGTGAACAAGGCAGTGCTGGCTTACCAGTTGGACTTGATGATCTTAGAGGTCTTTTCCAGCCATAATTTATGATTCTAGAGGTCGTAACGAGACAGAGGGATCACCATCCCTGGAAGTGTTCAAAAGGTATGTAGATGTGGCACTTGGGGATGTGGTTTATTGGTGAATACAGCAGTGTTAGTTTAAGTTGGACTTGATGAACTTAGAGGTCTTGTCCAACCATAACAATTCCATGATTCTAATGAAAAGATCTCTATTATCCATACACATCTGTGACAATCAATATCTCATCTTTTTTTGTTTCTGAAGATGGCATGTTTATGTAATTTCAAACAGGAGTATCCTTGATTTAATATGAATAACTATACTCTTGCTTATAGAGAGGACAGCTGATGCTATTTCTGGGGGGAAAAAAAGAAAATTAATATTTAGGATCTTTTCAGGACCCTTCACAGTAAATGGAAAACATCAAAATTTACAGGATTGTACTGTGGATTTTACAGGCTATATTCTCTCTAGTATCTACTAGGGTACAAAAGTCACTGAATTGCATGGGATAAAACCTGAGGCAGAATTTCTGTCCAGACCTTTCAACAAATGTTACTTAACCAGCTTCAGTTTCTAACCAGAGCCCTCACTGTATGGAAGCTACATATAGCTCTTGTGTATCTGCAAGTCTTTATTTTCTGTTGATTATGTTTTGTTATTTCAAAAGTTAGTTTCAAGCAAGCCTGCCAAGACAGAAGATGCAAAGGTTGTCATGTCACCATGGATTCTCATGTACTGCACTACCCACAGTGTAGTATGCCAGGGTGTGGAGGACAAGCTCATTTATGTAGATAGTACTTGTTGGTGATTAAATATTCCTCCTAAAATAATAAAAGAAATAAGTGAACACACTGCAGCAATAGAAAGAAATCTGCAGCTGATTTACATACAAAATTGTCATTTGTCATTTGCTTGACAGTCTCCTTACTCTGAATTAGCTCACTCCTTTTATTCCTCTCTTTTTTCTCTTTAAGTTGTCCTACAAGTTGGCTGAGTGCTTTACTGTGCTAAATTCTGATATTTATGCAAGTGGACTCAGTACTTGCTACACTTCTTTGCGCACTAGAAGCTGAACTTCAACACCCCTGTTGACTGTTGAAAAGATGTATGGTGTGTATACATGGAGGAAGAACAATTATGGGGCTTCCTTGCTATCTATACTTGTTTTCTCTTCCTTTTTCCAGTTTTATGCATCTACTGATTGTTGCCACAATCATATTTCTTCTATGTGATAAAAAAATATAATAGCACGCAAAAATGTATTTGGCATCTCCTTCAGCACCTCATCTTACAGCCTTACATGTTTTACATCTGTCAAATACTTAAAACAAAGTGCACAGTTCTCATATCCTGTCCTCCCCACAGAGATTTGGTTGATCTCATATGTATACCCATTTCCACTGGACTTCACAAGCATCATGATAGACAGCAGGACAATTTGGAATGTGATGAACTTTCTGGCTTATTCCATTACTTTCTTTTCCTTGATGAGCATTTTAAGAAAGATGCATTTCTTCCTCTGTGCTCACAAAATTCATTATTTCTTTGTATGGAGAAGTTGCCTTGTGTGCTCAATCACTTCCTCTCTATGAGAAATTCATTAGACATAGATACAGTCACTCATGGTATTTCTTAAACTCTGTTGAACATGTATTTCTGACAAATGCTACGTGTTCACTCCAAGGCATGATGCAGTGTTAGTCATCTTTATGTATTCCTACTAAAAATAGTGAACCCCACAGCCAACTATCTCTGTGTTAGTGGGAGCCAGCTCTGTGACTGTGGAAGGGTGACTAACTCCTGGAGCAAACGCTCTCCAGAATGCCTCCGCTTACTCAGTTCAGCTAGGACATTTCCTCCACTCTCTACATGATTAATGTTTTAACCATTGTCTTCAACATTAGCTTTGTATTGGCAATGGTAATGAGAAACATTTAGTCTGAAGCTTTGTTCCAAATTTAAAATCTTTAGCAAGTTGAAGGGGATATCTTTATTGTTCGTACTGCCTCATGTTCCATTTTTGCTAAAGCACATGAGATCAAAGTATGCCCTGAGGCATCTTACACCACTGCTACAGTTTAAAAACTGGCCAATAGCTAACAACAATTGATTGCTGTCAGATTTCACCAGGCACCACAGGAGGGGTCAAAGTGATAGCAAATTTTAGTATTTTACAAGAGAATGTGAGAATCTTCCTGCTAGCAGAGAAGAAAACTGTTTCAGACCTGGACTAAATCAGGTCTCTGCAATAATGGTTACAGTTGGCTACAAAGTGTACATTGTCATGCCTCCTAAATGTATATGCATGTTTGTATATGTTTGTTTGTGTGTAAAATATTTCAATGTCAATATATACATATTATTGATAAATAAAAGGATGTATGGACAAAAACTGACACGTGTCATTTCCAGCTCTTATTTTGGCAAACTACATTGCAGGTCCTAGTTCTGAACTTAGCACTATAGGTCAGTCTTTAACTGAAAAAAAATTTCAGAAACCAGGCAAACATATGTCAAGCCAAAGTATTAACACCAGTTAGAAAGCAAACACCAGTTTGAACTTCCATCTGGAACCTGAAGCATTGCTGTGCCCACTACTGGGCCTCTTGCTTCCAGGAAGACACTGAGGTGCTGGGGCATGTCCAGAGAAGGGCAATGAAGCTGGTGAAGGATCTATGAGGAGCAAGTGGGAGAGCTGAGATTGTTTAGCCTGGAGAAAAGGAGGCTCAGGGGAGACCTTATGGCTCTGTCCAGCTCCCCGAAAGGAGGCTGTAGCGAAGTGGGAGTCAGCCTCTGCTGAGCGGCAGGACAAGATGACACAGTCTCAAACTGTGCCAGGGGAGGTTCAGGATGAACACCAGGCAGGAAGAAATCCTCCATGAAGGTGGAGCCACCGTCCCTGGAAGTGTTCAAGAAACAATTGGACATGGCATTTAGCACTGTGGTCCACTCGACAAGTTGGTGACAGGTCAAAGGTTGGACTCACTGATCTTGGTCTTTTCCAACCTAAATGATTCTGTGATTCTGTAATATATAAAAATAGTAAGTTCAGAGGAAAAAATATCAGAAGTTATCCTACAAAGTTGTTTTGATGAAATGTGGTTAAAAAGATGAAAGGACTGAGATTTCAATCTTTATGTTTAAAGCTAAGTATTTGTTTTGCTATTATATTACTGTTTGAAGAAAGGTTGGACCTGAGCCAGCAGTGTGTGCTCACAGCCCAGAAGGCCAGCCACATCTCAGGCTGCCCCAAAAGCAGTGTGGCCAGCTGGTCAGGTCAAGGGAGGGAATCCTGAACCCCTACTCTGCCCTTGTAAGAGTGCACAATGTCCTACCTGGAGTGCTGCATCCAGCTCTGGGGTCCTCAGCATAAGAATGATGTGGACCTGTTGGAGGCGGTCCAGATGAAGGCCATGAAGATGACCAAGGGCCTGGAGCACCTCTCCAGGCTCAGGGAGCTGGGGTTGCTCAGCCTGGAGAAGAGAAGACTTCAGGAGACTTTACAGCACCTTCTAGTACCTAAAGAAGGATTATAAAGAATGAAGAGATGTTTTATACAGGCAAAGAGTGACAGGGAAAGGGTTTTAAACTTAAAGAGGGGAAATTTAGATTAGGTGTTAGGAAGAAATTCTTTTCTCAGAGGATGGTGAGCACTGGAACAGGTTTCCTGGAGGAATTGTGGGTGCCCCATCCCTGGAAGTGTTTTGTGGCAAGTTGGATGGGGCTGTAAGCAATCAGAAATGGTGGGTGGCATCCTTGCCCATAGCAGGAGGCTTGGAATGAATAAGATGAGTTTAAGGGTCCTTCCAACCCACACCATTATCTTGTTCAATGATCCTCTGATTCTGTTTGAAATGAAGGCTTGTCTACTCCCTGAATCTTGGACACTTTCCTTCCAGAATTTAAACAGAGGTGACAAGAAACTGTGGTTACTTAATTTTACTTCAATGCTAGTCATTCTAAAAACAGCCATCTCCACAAGGACCTCAGAAATTAACAATTAATGCTCTTACTGAATGCTCAAAGCAATTATTTTTTATTGTTTCTAAATGTAATTTTTGTCAAGGACACACCACTCTCAACTAGTTTCCTGTCTGCTCTTGACACAGCAGAGATCTAGAACAATATTAGCATGACAAACAGAAATAACATCAAGGGGCGTTATATACAAAGCAAATTACTTGCTTTTACCTCACTGACTGCCCAGACTGTCTTAATAAATAATACCCTGGCTCTGATTCAACTCCCTGCTTGCAGTCCTAAAAATTATGGCACACACTGTGTTTCAATGTGTGTACTGAAAAAGAGAGATCCATGCTCAAGGAAAAAAAGTGAAAAAAAGAGAGAGATCAGTCTTTAGCTATCTAAACAGAAATAATTTCATTTCTAATCTGGCCTTGGAAAAGAGGTGCAAAAATATCTCTCATCTGGTGTGTGCAACAGTTTTAAAGTAGTATACTCTAGAGGATCAAATTATTCAGGCAGCAGAACGAGAGGCAAAACAAGAGCCAAGGATTTTGAATAAATACTACAGCTGTGGGAAATGAGTTGCAGAAATAAAAGGAGGAGGGACCAGCTAGTTTTTGAGGCTAATAAGCATATGAAATCTCAAGGAAACAGAGCAAAACTGAGTCTGATTTATACCCTAAATAACTTCATTGAGTTCATTAGAGTTCCATCGGATACTGAATACATCATCTCAGAAATTGGTTGGTATATGATGGTATGTGAATAAGAGAGAGGGAATTCTGCAGAAACACCAGTCCTTTTGTCTTAAGGCTTTTATATTATAGTATTTCAGAAAACTTGGAAAGTGACAGACCCGGAGTGGTAGCTAGCGCCAACAGTATTGCAAGCAGGTGTTCCACAACTCCCCAGCTCCCCCAGCTCGAGTGCTCTGCCTCCATCCACAATTCCTCTGATGCTCTCAGTTTGGATCACTCTATGCTGTAAATTTTGTGATGAGCAGGGTAGTGCTTTTGTTACGCATACAGATGTGCAGCACTGACTAGAAACAGATCTCAAGATTGTTTCCACTCTAGGCATCCTGGCCTTTTGTCAGAGCTTTTCTGTTTTTCCATGCTTTTCAGCCCTCTGTGTTTGTAAGGTTAAAAATAAAATGGGCTGAGCCATCCAAAAGTGATTCTCCACTAGGGACTGTTTCTGCTTCTGCAATTCTCTTCTGTGCACCCTTCCTTCCTGTTGACTTTGCTGCTTTGGTTCTCCCAAGCTAAGTCTCTTACTGCCAGGGCAAAGACTTTGTTGCTCTCCCTCAGCCTTTCCTCCCCACCATCCCCATATGTGTTTGGGCATGACTAGGAGATGAGTATTGCTTCATATGGAATCTTGCTTCCTGTCTGTCGGAAAAAGAACTCATTGCTGTCTGCAGCCAAAAGGTAGAGAAACAAATAGCGAATCCTCATTTGCAAGGAGACTGTGCTTTATTCAAGATACATTGTGTCTGAAAACATACCGCAGCAGCAACGGTGACTTACTGTATCAGACCTCAGCTTCTCTATGCCTGAGCCATCCTTCTGAAGTGGCCCTTTGAAGTTTCACCTGTTTTAATTGTTCCCTATGAGCTTTTACAATTTTTCCTAGCTTTACAGGAGATAAAAAGACAGAAACCTGAGATTAAGTCACAGAAGCAGTTGAAAAGTAAGCTATTTAGGTGGGAAGATCTTTCCGAGAAGAACCAGGAATCCAAGATGTTTATCATAAAGGGTAGAAAAGCACAGGAGGGAAGCAGACCAGTATCGGGTGCAGTATCCTTCCAAAGCATATCATTGCAGTTACCTATTCTCATTAAATCAAGATTAAATCCATTGGAAAAAATGAATACACAGAGCTTTTAGGTCCTTACATGCTTAAATGCTGAAATACAGTTTTGAAAACCTCATAGGTTTTTACTATGGTTAATTGAAAAAAAAGTTGTGGATATACTTGGAAAGCCAACAGATGGCTCCAAGCCACTGGATTCTTCCACACATCCTGTGACCCTGACCATCTTTAACTACAGGTGTCTTTATAAAGCTTTCTATCATGACTTTGGGAGAAGGCCAAATTATTAATTATTTCTTTTCTTCCTTCCAGGAGCTTCTCTCCCAAAGCTGGATGTGGTCAGTATTTTGGTAGACATTACTAGTTTCTGCAGGAAGGAAGGAGGAGCCTGTATCACATGTATGAAAGATACACATAAGAGCTTTATTTTTTTTTTTTTTTTGAGCAAAAAATATAGGACTTCTTTTGTTATTCTTTCTAATGTTGTCATTTTCAACTATTTTCTATGGAATTGTTCTTAGAGTACATACACATACATACACTGAGGAGGTTCACAGTCCACACATGAGAACTTGTTCATGAACCTCAAAAAAAGGGGGAAATACTACTCTCACATCTGGCAGTCATTTGTTCATCATAGAACTGTGCATCTGAAAGCATTGCATAATAGATATGCAGGGCCAAAATCATCCTGGGCGTAACAGTACTGACGTCAATTCCCTTACACCACGAAGGAATTTTTTGTGTAGAATGCAAACTGTTTTCATGAAAGAGAGAGAAACACTTCAGTATGGATTCTTTTTGACTTTCTTTTCTTTAAACAGCTGGCAGTGGGTAGACATTGGCTTGCTGGCCAATTGCAATAAATGAGATGGACCACAAAAAAACAAAAAGGAGAATGGGTATGGAGACTCAATTGGTATTGAGGATTTGAAATGCTATGTGCTGTATGTAAGGGATGCTATTTCAGACTATCTCTAGAATGGTCACTTGATTTATGTACCTATTACAAGCTAGAAAACACAGAGTATGCTCCTGAAATGCCTAGGATTTTTTCATAACTAACATGCTTGGATCTCCTAGAAATGTGAATCATTTCCTACCAACAAAGGGTAAAATTTTTAGGTATACCTATGTGACTTAAAAAGCAGAAGACCTCTTCTGAAAAAGTGCAGGGAAATTTGCAATTGTACTGTCACTTAAATTTTAAATCTCCAAGTTCATTTCCTCTCTTGTTTTCAAGGTGGCTGGTCCTTGGAGCACTCCCTAACTCACACCATTAAAAACAGGCAGACTCCTTTAGCTGGCACTTGAATTTACCTCCTGGCTTCATCTATTGTGGATTAGGAACAATTCTACTAGCAGAGAAGCAGGAAGGAAAATTGCGGAAAGGTCATGAAAAACGGGAAAATTAATGTCTGGAAGCACTGACTGATGGCTGTCAAATTAATATTTCTCTGTTTTGTGATGTTGAATTTTGGGTTTGAAATCCAGAGGAGTTTTTGGGTGATCCTTTGTGTTCTAAGAAAGGCACACATTGTACATCTTCCTACAAGCAACAATTCAGATTATCAAAAATATTACCATTGAACCATAAGACATTATAAAGGTTCAGGCTTTGCATATTAAGACATAATAAAGATTTTGAGTCCACATATACAATAAAATTATATAAACATTTATTAATCACACATCTCTGGAAACCTTAGCTACAAAATTTCAGGGTACCTTTGTGGCTTCGGTGCAATAAATGGAATCTTTGCTATAAACAGAACTTTACCCTTAGCCCAAAATTGTTTCACAGATTACCTATGCTTTTTGCAAGTAATGTCTGTGATTTACTAAATGTATTTGTAATTTGCTAACTGTATTGTCCTGCACAGAGGAAACAGCATGACACAGCTTCCTCCTCTATTCCTCCATGTCTTTGGGCTCCTGACCCTGCTCAAAAGGAATTCCTGAACTTCTCTGAACAAAGTCTGCATTTACTGCTGATACTTACAGTAGGCACAAAACTAAGTAGAGATTGTGCCAGTCATAGCTTAACCTAAAATGCTAAATCAGATCTTTTCAGTTAGGAATATTACCACTTTAAAAAGTTGGTGGTTTGGTTTTTTAAGTCGTACAGCTCTTTTTTAGAGAATTATAATATTAAATCTACCTGCTGAATAACCTCTGCGTGGTTTTTTTAAACTTCTGTTCCTTTACAGTGTTTGCTCTTGGATTCTATTTAGTGGGAACAAGGTCAGGATACAGGATACATGATCTGGACATACACATTTAAACATACACATACAAATATTTTAAAAAATATTATGGATATATCCTTTATAAATTTTACATTGAAGTTGGGTGTGAATTTATACTTTTCATATTGTTCAGCTAGTTTGCTTCAAGAGAAACTTCACTGAATTAAATTGAACTACACATAAACTAGATGCTAGAAAGCAAAAGGAAAAATCTGTGTATCTGTGTGTGTGCATATGCACAGCTTTGAATTAAAACTATTATTATTTCTTCAACTGAGCAATTTCAGACTGAAAAAATCAACATTTGCAACTTCAAACACAAAACATAAAATAACATCCTTACTCTAGTCACAGTTAACCACATAGTGACTAAATATAGCATCAGTCTGTCTTCAGGATGTGTCCACAATAACAGATTACTCAAAATGTTCTGCTGCTATTCCCTACCTAATATTATGTCTACAACAAAATGTGGAAGTTTAAAATATCTCTGTAATTATGGTAAACAGACAACAATCACTAAAATTGCAGAGCACTGTCCACTGC